TCAATTACTTTACTTCATTATTTCAATCAGACTACATCGACTTTTTCGATGATAAGCAATAAGGTCATTAATCGCTTCATAACAAGGCATCAGTTCATTCAACAAGGTTGAGCGGTCTATAGTTTCTAACAAGCAGGTTATTTGAATTTGATCGAATAGGTCATCAGTTCATAGTAAAGGATAGCAATTCTCGATCGTCAGTTTGTTCAAGTTTCTTAACAGGGATTTGTGAGTATCTTGACCGTAAGTCAATCTTAGAGAATACAATGAATTCTCTTAGCTGATCAAATAAGTCATGATACGAGGTAAAGGATAACGATTTATTCAACTGACAGTAGTTGATATAGAGTCTCATTGATTTGCGTATGAGCAAAATAGGTATTCTCCCAAGGAGGAAACACTTGATCAGATAATTCTTTGTCAGAAAGTCATTGATGGAAACACGTTCAATACAGAGTTACAAATATTGGTCCTTCAGTTCAGATCTTTCTTTCGCGTATCACACGAAAAGACTTGACACTCCTTTTGGTTGAGAGGTTTGCGCACACAAATTCGAGATGAACTCGGTCGGTTTAAAAATCAGCTTTGCTTTCACTTATATAAGGTTTCCATAATCGATCTTCAGTTGAAGAATTCTTCGTCAAGAGTTGTCAATATCAACGTCGTTCGACTAACCAATGTATACTAAGGATAATTGTCAAATTCCTTGTATGGTATTTCAATGAGGTTTTGTTAGGAGTTGTCGTTTAACGAACGATTTCGATTCCTAAGATATAATCGCATATTTGCATCTTAATGAATTAGACATCAGAATGGGGATAGATTAGATAACAGAGTTTATTGATTTTAAACGTTCGTGTTTGAATCAGTGATTAGATCGTCTTGAGTCCACATGAGTATCTTTGACATTGGCTTGACAGATGCTTCTCAACAATTATCGTTTCTTCATAGTCGTCTCACTTTCGTACGATTTTGCAATGCAGATCAGTTTCGTCCATCGCGATGCGATGCGTACGTTAATAACGGATCAGAGAGTCATATATATTTCATTCATTATTTCGTCTCTTCACTGAGTACGAAAGTTCTACTAGAGTCTATGTTCGATATGATTTCAGTACTAATCAATTGTCATTTAATGAGAATTCTAACAGAGTGAGTATTTACCAAGTAAATTCTCATACCTTTCCTAGAGCAGAGGGACGCGAGAGTCGTGGATGTGATTAACTCAATTTTTTTTATTCAAATTTTGATACGAAGATCGGTTTTAAAACCATTTGCTCTGATACCAAATTGTAACACCCTAATCCGTCCAGGTCTACAGCCCCTTTCGGACTAAAGTATTAACTTGGTAATCGTAAAATTTAAAACTTTTCAAAAACTTTTATTTTTCATAAACAGTACAGAGTTTTCAATATTGCAGAAGCTTAACAAATCATAACCACAAACATAATTTATTTATATTCTTTAATTCAAAACCATCACATCCATTCCGACTATCTCGCCTCCGTCTGCCTCTAGGATCACGTCACATCATTCTATTGACCTGCGTGTAGCAAATAAAACACACTACACGCTCAGCGGTAAAGCTGAGTAAGCATATCTAATGCGTCGAACATCCATATAAATTGAATCTCAATTCATAATCAATTCATTTGATATCATGCACATAATATTCCGTTCAGATATTCAATAATCAATATTCAATTTTCACATTTATTATTCATCCATTCAACATGTATATTTAACATTCATATTTATTCATTATTTGTCATTCAACAATATCCTTAACTATTCTAGTCTAAGGCCAATCTAATTGACATTTACCAACTCTTAAACTATTTCTAGTTCAAGGTACTTCTAACCAACTCTTAAGCTAGGTCATTAGTTTAAGGTACATATTCCGATTGATTTACCAACTCTTAAACTAGCCTTCGCTTAAGGTACAAATCTAGGAAACCGAACAGTAGAATACTAACTGTCGGGTTGGGTGGTATCCCCAAACGAGTTCCTCTAGTTTGGTTTATGGATCCCGTACGTACGTTTTAACCTAGGCCACCGAATACTCATGATTATACCCGCAAGGCCTATTTCTAAACTATCTTAGAGGTCTTCTAGATAGTCTTAGAAACCAAAGTCAACCTAGGTATATCTTAGAGTTCTTCTAGATATCCTTACAATCCAAATCATTTCATAATCATCAACATATTCATTTCAATTCATAATTTAATCCTTGATAATCATTTTAATCAGAGGTTTCCTCAAGCCATAATCATCATAGTAATCATTCATCATAATCATCAATCAACATAACATTCGATAGCAAATAGCGGCCTAGCTTCGAGTGTTAACACCCCAACTTACTGTCATGCATCACATAAAGTCTTTGTATTAATCAAAACATCATTTTTATTTCCAGAAATCACGTTTATATTAATTATAACTGATTGGTATTAAAAATAGGATTAAAGGGTCCATAATTCGAATTTTCTAGAAAATATTAGGTTCTGGACGGTACCCGGTACGGTACCTAGGTACCGTGTCACGGTACCTTAGTACCGACCGCCACCAGGTACCGTGAATAAAACACAGTGGAATGGTAGGGAGGGTACCGTTTGGACGGCATAGCCTACCGTGCCGGCAGTACGTGGGTACCGTTTGGGTGGTAGGGTGGTACCGTACTATGCGTAACTTTGAACAGTGTCGTCTTCAACCTCGAGCCAAGTTTCGGAAATTCCATTTTTAATCACCAAACTTCAATTAAACTATATAGAAATGTTCTCTAATGTTCATAGGTCATTTTGGTATCATTAATTCATAGTTTTAACATTAAATTCAAGGTTTATGATTCTTGGTTCTTCAAGCATGTCAAACACAAAACTCAACCAAACGACCGTTTATGAACGTAGAAACGATCTATACGAACATTCTAGTCATTAGATATATCAACGGGCTTACCTTGAAGCGTAAGGGGGGTTTTGACGATTTTCCGGCGAAACTTCCGGCAACGATTACTCCCATCTCCGGCGACCTTTCACAATATTGACAGCATCTATGTACTCTCCATATTCATAGCTCTCATATGAAAGAAGAAGGAAAGATTTTGGTGTGGAAATGAGGAAGAGGAGAGTAGCATTTATAGCCAGAGAAGAAGGAAGAAGACAATTGGTGATCCTGGTGATGATGGGTCGATTAGTGCGCAGGGCTGCGATGCTGATGAATTTCTCACGATTCTTCTCTGATTGGGACTAATTTGGTCCCAGTCGGGGTACACTTTTTGGTCCAACTTTATCCAAATTGAATTCCGTTTGCACCATTGCGATCAGACAGTTAAACTCTATCCAACGGTATAATTTTTATATTTATTCGTTATACTTTTTCCGACATCATATTTTTGGGTGGTTGACTTTGACAAAGTCAAAATTGATTCAATTGACCTTTATTCAAAAAGGTTCTCATAATTAATTCATATAATTTATTTCCATGATTTATTTCAATAAATCATTTCAAAGTCACATTATAAACAATTTCTTCATTTATTCTTAATTTGGATCTGTACTCAGGTTTCCAATCAAGATCATACAATAAGTCAACACATTGGATTTATCTCTATAAGATTTATCCAGATTGTGATATTGAATATTTAAACATATTTTATTTCGGCCCAAAGCCCAACAACAATTTATTTTAATCAAAACTATTTGATTAATTTATTATTTATTTATTAATAATTCTAGGGTATATTTTGGGGCATTACAGTTTATAAAAGCCAAAATTGTATTTGTATGGAACTGCCCAAGACTGCATTTCGGGCTTAAATTCATTTGGTAACATCATCTCTCCCCTCATATTCAGCCCCTTGAAAGGTAATTACTATGGAGCACTAACTAAGATGGGATCCATTATTTTATAGTTTGTTTGATTTCTAAGCATGAATTTAGATGACTCTTGCTGGAATATTGGCCTTGGCTTCTAATCTGTGACCATTTTTCCAGGTTCACAAAAATGACAATAGACAATGGTTTCATTTGTTAGAAAGAACTGGTACACATCAAACCCTTTCATGTTCCTTTATTTTGTTGTTTCATTTTTAGTGTGTTGAATGCATGCCCCCATTTATTGTGTTTATTTCATGGAAAATTCTATGGTACCCTGTGTAAGCTTGAGTATACATACTGATTCAACATTATCTATTCCTTGGGCAGCTACCGGCCTATTCTTTTTATTCTTTTAAAGGAAGTATGCCCCCCCTAATACTCTATTAATAGAAATAATAGAAGAAATAATAGAAAGGGAAGCCCCGAAAACCTTATGAATAGACCACTACCATCATTCAGTGAATGAAAGCGAGTATCTGGTCTTTTATGATCGTGAGGCACTGCATGCAGGAGGTCGAGTTGGTTAGTACGAATGGCAGCTACCAGGGGACAAGGTACTTTTGAAAGCGGAAATAATACGCTGTATCTATGTTCAACTCATTTAGTAAGAATAAGTATAGATTCTAGGTTTTTAAACTTCCCATTTACAAAGCACATCTAAAGCCGGATGATAACACCAGATGTTGTTTTAGGCATAATAACACTTTATTTTTTGATGCCCTCATATATCTTCCCCAGGATTGTTCAAAGACATTCAAATAGTCCACACATGGAATTAAGTGATTAAGTTAATATAGAACTCCATATCTTCCGTTGTCAAATTGAAGCCAAAATAAAGTTTTCTTGGTAGAGTTTTTTGGCAGTGTGAGGAAGAATACAGTCTAAGTCTAATACTGTTAAATTCAGTTTTTTAGCCTATATGACAATATAGGCTAAAATAAAGTGTCTCCATGTTCAAAGTTTTAAATTTAATGTTCTAAAATCCACTGCGAAAATTCCTCTATATGACAGTCTACACTGTCATATAGATACATCATATTATTTTGCCCTTTTCTCCAAGAATGTGGAGTGTGAGTGATTGCCCAAACTTGAGCAATACTTGTACGTTGGTGTAACGAATCAAACCGACTTTCCCCATATCTTTTGCCCCTTTACAATGGAGCTCGAGACAGGTGTCAGCCGTCTCAGAGAAGGAGGGGTGGAAGATAGCTCTGATTTGTCCTTTATCCTCCCATATTCAAAGGTAACCTTCTTAATATGAAAGTGAAACCTTCACCAATCTGGAAATCAATAATTTGGGGTTTCACTTGATTTGAATATCTGATTAATTGGATTTCGGACTTCTATATTGTTAATTGAAAGCCGAAAGCTCCCAATTTCCAAGCATGGGATTCACACCCTCTATTCTCATTTTTTTTTTTGATAAAAAATTATGTTCCTCATACAAACCATACATAGGAAGTTTGTCTTAGACATAAGGTAGGGTTCTCAAATCTCAAGGTTAGAGAATCACATCACTTCACTTTGCTCCATTCACTTCACCTCATTTTTTCAAAGAGAAATGCTAGCTTTTATGTTCATATTATTCTTGGTATGTTTCTGCTAAGCTTCTCTTCTTTTGCTGTTTTGACGTTAAAAAAAAGTGTTTGCATTCTTGGAATGCTGCAAATTAAATTTCATGACTGTTATGGAGATTACCGTTGCTCTGTTCACTTCACTTTAATAAGAGGCTAAAAACAAGAGGGAAGGGTGCTACTGAATCTAATGTAAAGGCTAAGCTAATTCTAAATCCCCCTTAATAAGAGACTAAAAACAATCATTAACTTGGGTATTTAGTTTTTAAACTTAAATTTATTACAGAAATAAAAAAGCCTTACCAAGACTATGTTGGTGTTAAGATTATTACATGAACTCTCTTATTTATTCTATTTGTTTGTTCAATGATGATTTACCTTTGAACACAAGAAAATATGTTTCCAGAATTCCAACATATCCTCGTCAATTTACCAAGTTTGCTATGTTGTCACTACATCCTCTTTTATTTTTCTTGTGAGACATTTGGTAGATTTTGTTTCAGGAGTTAGATATGTTTTTCTTCCTAGCTTTTCGGCATGGTGGTTGAAGCGCATCCAAAAAAACTTGGGAGAATTGTAAATGTTCCAAACTTTTAGAGTATTCACTATCTTAGGGTTTTTGTTTTAAACAAGGTTTATAAACATAGCAGGTTTTTACTAAGTAGGTCACAAGAAGATCTGGATTTTGATCAAATTTGAGATATAATTTTTTTCTTCAACATTTTGGAATTGGCTCAAATTTCAAGGAATTCCAAACTTCGGAAGTTTCTAGGCGCAGTTTTTTTGAAATTGAGTCAATTGTTTATACACCTTTTCCCATAAAAATGATTTGAAGGATTTGAAGTCCTTAGAAGGTAATTTAGAATGCAATTGATTGCATTTGGTTCCCAAATCATGGATATAAGTAATCTACTTGTTGAGTTGTATTGCAGCTAAAAATATTGTTTTTTTTACAAAACCGAGGTTCATGGTATTGTTTATAGTATTTAGATGTATGAATTTGTTAGATAAAAGGGGTTTGCTTCAACATATGTTATACCCGAGTAATACTTAGGGCTTGTTGATACATATTTTATGGAATTTTGGGAGTAAGATATCATGTTCTGTATATCACAGTGGCACTTCGATCATAGACATCTGCAGACGTCATCTAAAGAGTGATCGAAGTAGGTAAAGTCATCATGCATGCAACTATAAACCGTTGTTTCTAAACATGTTGGAAGGAATGAGCAAGTAGGTAAAATCATACATCTATTAATCCATTTGTACGACTGTACGCTGTGTTCTGTTTATAAAAGCCAAAATTGTATTTGTAGGGAACTGCCCAAGACTGCATTTCGGGCTTAAATTCATTTGGTAACATCATCTCTCCCCTCATATTCAGCCCCTTGACAGGTAATTACTATGGAGCACTAACTAAGATGGGATCCATTCTTTTACAGTTTGTTTGATTTCTAAGCATGAATTTAGATGACTCTTGCTGAAATATTGGCCTTGGCTTCTAATCTGTGACCATTTTTCCAGGTTCACGAAAATGACAATAGACAATGGTTTCATTTGTTAGAAA